GGTGTTCGTGGGTGTTCGTGGGTGTTCGCTTGTTTTACAAATACCCACTATAGATTGAAGATGTATCTGATAATACAACTAAGTTTTTTAGTATAATGATTTTAAATAAATCAAATTGTTAGATAAATAATTAGAAGTGTGAACATTTTCGAAATGATAAAACTTCAGAGGGCGCATATCGACTACAAACATTGTTATAATTTTGATTTATTCATTTATTTGACATTTTTTTAAAAATAAATTATTTTAAAAACTCTGACAATATATCATGAATTTATAAAAATTAGAGTTTGTGAGTTCCACACATCAAAGAATCAAATATTACTTCGATGAGCCCACTTCCAGTCATTTCATTTTATTTCAAGTCTGAATTAGAGTGACTTGGAGTAGCGTGAAGTGGATCCATCAAAAGAATATTTCATACTTTTATCAAAGAATTTTTAAAAGCAATACCTTAGTATAGGATCTCATGAACGAAGAATCTAAATGTTTTTCAACTGATAATCTCCTCGAGTCGAACATAGTTTATAGTGAGTTGACGTGTCTTCACTAATAGCGATTCTATTTCAAAATCTCTCGAATGGAAGAAAATTTCCAAAGAGTCATCAACAAATATTGGTGCCGTCGCCGATCCACAGTGGGCAACCAGGCGAACATGAACGAAAGTATTCTTTTCCAAAGTTTAAATATTGGAATAAATACATCTAAGACTAGTCTATCTTGTCTTGAAATAAAACTTTTGGAAATTAAAGAGAACTCTGAAAAACTCCATTTTTATAAATTTGTTCATAAACCGCTATCTATAGAGAAAGTTAATTCTGCGCCCAACTTAACGAAAATATTTAAAAAGGAAAACTATCAGAAACGCATAATTGCTCTATGGAATTCGTTGTGGTAAAAAAATAGTTTTGGTTGAACTCAAATTGAAAAAGAAAAAAATTGATTACCGTGCTAAAAATAGGCTCAAACATCAACCGTGCTATATTTTGCAAACGCTACAAAGAGTTTAAATCCGATTGACCTCAAATTTATACCGATTATTCCTCTATATGTAATCTATCGTTGGCCTTAGCATAACTGCATGCTGACGAACGCAGACTGTGCTAGAGGTCTTCCAAATAACCAGGTTTCTGCCTAGGAATCTCTGTTTTTCAGATTATCATAATCTTGTGGCACAAAACTAAGGTGATATTCAGAATCAGCTCATCGAGCTGCATTTAATGATATATAATAAAAAGTGTTTTTTTGAAAAATATTTTTTGACTTTTATGAAGAAAAGGTTTTAAAAAAATGAGTCATACCGTACTTTTCGAACGCTACAAACAGGCTTCGTCTGATTGAACCCAAGTTCTTGTTAATTATATACCTCCATGTTAGTTTATCGCCAGCTATTTGTGCTGTATCGCATCAGTGTCGGTAGATTGGACAATGGATCACCAGAAAACTATAATTCCGATCTAATGCTCCTTTTTCACCCTTAAAATGGCATCTTAGCGAAAAATCAAAGTGATATTCGGGATCAGCGCGTAAAACTGCGTCGATTGATGTACGACAGAAAATATTTTTTAACAAGATAATTTTTTCGAAAACTTTGTTTGAGGTCCCCCACAGGTGTTTTTTGGCAAAAAAGTTGTTCTTTCAAAAAGTAGTTTATTATGTTAAAGATGATTTTCTAAGTTATATATAACCACTTCTGAACTATAAAAGGCGATTTTCAAGCAAGAAAGTTACATGTCCGCCTGGTATGCGGAAGTTGCCCACTGTGCGATCAATACATCGAGTTACACCCATTGTTCTATATATCAAGAGAGTTGATTTTTCATATTCGAATAGTTACTTTTTGAATTTTTTTGAATTTTATATTAGAAAGTCTGAAATCAAAAGGTTGATTTTAACGAGTATATATTGATATCACCTCGTGCATAACACAATCAATTCAAAATATTCCAGTATGGCAACACCAAGGCATAATGTCAAAAAATTTTCTTGTACAACACCACGCTTTCTTTTACCAACATTACGTCGTCCATGTTATCGTGAAATAATCACAATAAAAAATATATGTGATCCAGAAAATGAAACTTTTTCAAAATAGAGTGAAGAAGATTGACAATATTACAATATAATTAATACAGCTCTTCTTAATGATGATTTGGAAGTATTGAAAAAAAATGTACGATTTATCAATAGTTTAAGGATGACAATTAAAAATAATAATGAAAATGAATCTCTTTAAGTTAATCGTGGATTATCTATTGATCCTGAACATGTAAAACAGGAATATAAAGTAGGTTTACGATTTTTATGGCCAACATTTACATGTACATCAAGAAATAGAGATGTAGCATATCGTTTTGGTGATTATATATTTGAAATTGATGCATCAAAGCATAATTGGACATATCGTAGTGATATTTCAAAATATTCTATCTATCCAAAAGAACAAGAAGTTTTATTCTATCCATATAGTGGTTATATTGTTCAAAATATTATATATGATGCAAAAATAATTCAATTAAAATGTATTGATACACTACAAGTTGAATCGAGCTCTGAAAAGTGTATTCCATCTTGTGTTAAAATTTTTGATTCAACAAGAAATATGTTCGTTTATTTTTATAAAAATAGTACCGATATTCATTGGTCTCATGCTGAAAAATCAAAGGAAATCTTTTTAATTGCACAAAATATGAATGGCTATTAGGATGCACCTTATTGTTATCATCATCGTAATGGATGTTTTATAGACAAAGGAAACAATCAATGGGAAGAATATCAAAACAACAAACTCCATGCACGGTTTACAAGAGTTGACAATGATGGTGATAATGATCATAACGGTTAAAATACAAACGATTCAGCAAGTGATAAAACAAAAGAACAGAGTCATACACTCACATACCTGGTATAGAAAGAGTTCTCTACAAGTGATTTTCACATGTGTGATCGACAGAACTGTCTTAGATCTGATTTCCTCTCAAAGCTTATGTTGTCCTACTGTAATTTTAATTTGCTTGAATAGACTCAAGAAAAGTGTTTTGATTGTCGTTCATTTTGGTTTCCTCTGGAAACGAAACCATAACAGCAAATTAGAGAAATTTTTAATCGAAGCTGATATGATACCGATAGTTCTCGAGCCGGAACTGCACATCTATGCAGTGAATACATGTCTAAGCATCATAGAAACTCATGGAATCATTCCCATTCCTTTGTTTTTCTATAGTTGTTCGACTCACCGAATATCAACTAAAATCGTGAGGCAACTCAGTTTCCCATCCCCTAACGTCTTTAGTGTTGGTAGAAGCTACGAAAGTTAGCTATTACAGACTACAATTCTCAGATAGTATTCTATAAAATATCACTTGAATATCATTTAGCACGGTGACTACATTCAAAAAAAACCATAGGTAAAATATGACAACAAATAATATTTTACTTGCGTTGATTAAAATTTGAAATTTGTTAATCAGAATAATAATTTTTTTCAATTACTGTATCTGGTATAATACACAGTTTGATATGGTGATAGTAACATTAATAAATGTCTATTTTCAGCGGAACTACTCTGTCCTGTAATTAAATGTGTATACGTCTTTGTGTACTGTGAATCTCAAAATGACCAAAGAGTGTGTATGTGAGTGTGCGTGTGAAATTTTTTATCATCGACAAGTGTTTCATAAGATTTTCGTAATTTATAAAAAATTTGATTGAAACTATGTTGAAAGATTTCTTGATTCCTGAGTTGCTAAACCTTATACCACATGTCTTTTATTTTTGACTTTTCGAAATTGTCCTTATGATAAAGAGAAATATACTGAAATTTTTTCAATGATCTTGAATTTTCTTTTTCTATCAAAATTCTTTGATCAGTTTCTATTCATATTAAATTATTTGCAGTATTTATATTCGTATGTATAAGATTTTTAGTGAAAATTTGATCAAAGAAAAAATAAGAATTCAGGTGCTCATCAGTTATAGTTCATGTGAGTAAAACTAGGGTACGAGTATACAATCTTGTGATTCTAGGAATAAATATAAAATGATGTAAACAAGAAATTAGTTAAGTAATTTTTTCAATTCAAAAATTTTGTATTATGTATATTCATATATCGTAAGTTACTTTTGAGTAAAATCTGATCGTTTGTGAGAAAAATGAAAAATATAATACTCATAATTTTCTCAGAAATGATTAGGGTGTAGGTAGTGTTGGTGGCTATGAATTCAGGTCTTCTTCCTCTCATACAACCGCACCCACAATTCTCTTAAAGAAACTAAACATAATTAGCTTGATGTAGTCTTCGCAGAACTTGTCGAACGACGTTGTTTCCAAACCGATTCCGAGAATAAAATACATTAGAATCAGATAAGTGACATTAATATTATCAACAACAATGAATATCAGACAACACAAACACATATATCAGGTGGGTGGACTATTGTAGTTCTGTTTAATACCAATCGAACAAATTGTAGCTCCCACTATCCTCAAATAGATTCACTTTCCATTCAAGAGTCTTCCTCAGACAAAAAATAAAGTTCCTTTTTCCAATTCATTTTTTGCACCACCAAATACGCTGTGTTAAAAAAAAAACACGAAATACACCACAAGATCCAGCGTGAAAAGCTCTACAATTTACAAAGAACAACTTATCCTATAATTACACTTTTTTTTTCTCGAAATGGAAAAAATTCTGTGTGACTAATTTTTAACGCTACGAACAAGATCATTTTTTTGGTACACGATCAATTTCTTTTCTGATTGTTTTGGTTAATGAGTTGTATGGAATGCTATAATCGATGGCCAAACAATGGGATAAAGCTAAAAACAATGATTCATTAATTGATGACAAAAGAAAAGGAATTCATCATGTATCAAAAGAAATTATTTTTTTCGAAGTGTCAAAAATTAGTGGCTCGGAACTTTGTCCATTTTGAAAATAAAAAGTGCATTTATAAAATAAGCTGTCGTTTGTAGATTGGAGAGCTTTTCACGCTGCGTCTTGTAGTATTTTTTTTTAACACAACGTATTAGGTGGTGAAAAAAATGAATCGGAAAAAGAAACTTTTTTTTTGTCCAAAGAAAAGTATCACGACAATGAGACATTTTTGTATATGCTGAAGAAATTTGAAATAATAAGTCAGTGATATAGGTTTCATATATATATGTGTAGTTTAACTTATGTGTTATTCATGGATACGTAAATCAAGATATAATAAAATGAAGCTAGAGGAGAACGAGCGCACAGAAAAAGGAACTTTTTCTTGTTCGGGAAGAGTTTGAATCAAACACTAACACAATTCCTGCATCCAACTCACACAAAAGTCTATAGAATAAAAAGCAACAGTACTAGAAGGTATATAATGGTTGTACGTTCTAAAGAGTTATTGAAAGGTGCTACAGAAGTCGTTGTCGTATAGCGTGGACAAATATCAACAATAATATCGTCAAGTGCAACGGAAACAGTGTTGGAAATATCGGGCATAACATCGAACCAAATAGTAATGTTGCATGTTAGATCGAGAAGTTGCATTTGCGCTGTCTGCCAACCTTGTGTGTCATCAGTATGCATTACCCATAAAGTCGTCGTGTAACATCCTTTTAGACTGACACTAAGATATGTTCCATTTCTGATACTCACACTGGACTTAACGAAATAAGCAAAATTCAAACACATGTGTTCGCGCAACTCGAATATTGGTGTGCTCACGACTCCATTCGTGGAAGTAAGTGTTGCATTCGATGGACGATGCCAATAGAGAAAATGTCCGAAACTCGAATTCAGTGTATGATCGACACTCGGTGCAAGTTCTTTATCGGGTGCAGTTTGTCCAGTGGCAATGGTGAAGTTATATAATGGAGGTTCTGGATCGAACCAAACACCATTTCGCATTTCACACCAAATTTCATTTTCAAAATTGCAAGCGAAACCTGGATTACCGTTTGCTTGTGACACAAACGACAGAATAACGACCAAGACGAAAAATAGAAGCATCAAGCTATGATGTCAGTAGAAATTAAGATAAAGACACTCGCTCATTGACGACTAACATGATATATCGTGTTATCAAATCATTACTCTCTATTATCTTTGTTTTACGATAATGATATCGAAGGCATATTGTTCTTTTTCTTTTTTACACACGTGAATAAAATTATCATTTTTCGCTGCAAGATTTTTTAAAAAACTATTTATTTCACTATTAATTTTCCTATTATTTGAAAATCGTCTTGAGAGATGAACATGCAAGATTAGTGAGAGCTGCCATAGCTGGCTTTGATCACATCTGACACTAAAATCCTTTATGAAAATCAATTTCAGGAGGTCAGAAAATGAGTCAAAATCTGAAAATAGTTTTATTCATAGTAACTATTGATGAAGACATTTTCATTTGAGTTTCTTCAAATTAGAGTCGAATACAAGTTCACACAAGTTGACCTAAAACAATTCAATGAGAGAGTTCAAATTACACCATATATGTCAATAATGTTGGAGACATCATTTTTAAATCATGTAAATAGAATTGAAGTATAAACAGACACTTGATATATTACATACGTCGAACACCATTGACAAGCCTGTAAATTTGTCTTTATTTGTTTCTTCTAAAATGCAAATCATTGTGACTTTTGATCTTCCTACACGTATTTTTCACTTTGACGCTTGCAACAAATTTCAGATTACAATCAGATTTCGACTCAATAAACCAGAGTAACTCGATTGAAAATCTCTTTATTTGATTGAATATATTTTGTAGCTTCTTTTTTGTTCTTTATGATTTTTTGATTTGATACGCAAATTTTATTCATATTTCAATATTGATTTTCATCTAGAATTTCGTAAATATTGATAATTATATTTGTTCGTTAGTATTACATGCGTACTTTTATCTCAATCAAGAAAAAAAAGCGTTAAAGAACAATGCAAGAAGTAGGAGTATTCGTAATTTATGTTAACATCACTAACATTCACAGAAAGATCCAATCTACTCATTGATATACGATTAGTTTAGTTTCTTAAGCATATTTCTACCAGAAATATCTCAAAATACGAAATAAGTTTTTAAACAAAAAAAAATGGAAAAAATTTGCACAGAAACATTGACTAATGATAAATGCATTAACTTTAATAATCGATAGCATTCGCTATAAATTCATTGACACTTCTACGCAGATGTAAATCATTTATGAACAAATAATTCGAAGTATTTTATTACAAGTTTTATTTTACAAAATCTTAAAAGTGAGAAAATACAAGCATTTTCAATCTGAAAATTTTATCTGTTTTAGAACTTTCTTTCAGAGCAAATGCGAATTTGAAACCATTCTCAATCAATGACATATTCTGCTCTATAATATTATCTTCATGCAATGTCCTTCTAACAATCTATATAATTGCAATATAATAACGTTGGTATACTAAAGCTCAAGCAGATGCAAACGTCGACACCGAAATAAACTATATAGTTAGTCAAATAAATCGATTTTACTACAATATCATATACATCCTATATCAACAGATTAGACTATCAAAAAATCTTTTTCAATTCAGTTCTTACCTAAGTCTTCTTCAGCTATTTCTTGCTTTTATCTACTTCCCTACTTACAATATGTGATTAATGATGAGTTTTAGTTAGGGGTGGGAAGTTACCGTTCCCGGACCGTTCCCTGGGAACTGTAACGGTAACGGTTGCAGGGGAAAAAGT